GATGATGATCACTCCCCGAGAGTCTGATGCTGTTACCCCATCATCCCACAAAGAGCATCTTGACCTATGCAGAGTTAACCCCACTCCATCCCACGGCGGGGACAGACAGCCAGTGAGAGGGAACGGGCCATCATGAGGAACAGCAGAGTGAGCCTGGAGCAGGGGGACTGGGCGGTGGGGCGGTCACCTCACCCCTCATCCATCCTCGCTGCTCAGCCATCTTGCTTGGCCCACACTGGAGACCAATTCCACCAGAGCCCAGTCCCCTTGCCCTGGGCCACTGGAATTCAAGATGGCGGCCATGGCCACCATGGAGGGGAGATGGGAGGGCAGGGGGCTTTCCAGTCACTCCTCTTACACACACACACACACACAGAGACCACCTTGGACATCTCAGAGCCATTAGGAACAGCAGGACCTCCCCCCCACGCCGGACACCCGGATCTTTCCAGAATGCCAGCTGGAACCTTCCTGCCAGATCTTGGCCAGACAGCTGCCACCCAACCCTCCCGCCACCCCCGAGATGCCACACGATCTTCTCCACGTGCCAGGGAATTTCTTAAAGCCCCCCCCCCCATACACACCATGTGTCTCAACGAGAAAACACACATACACGCTCCACTCAAACAGAATGTTCCAGATGTGGGCAGAGCCAGCGAGGCCAAGGCCAGCAGAAGCGGAGGACGTGAGGGCAGGGAGTTGGGTCAGAGAAAGAAAGGGAGCCTGGGATTTAGGGGTGCACCCAGTGGGTAAAGGGAGGAGGCGGGGTGCAAACTCCCACATTAAGGTACCCCGTCTGCCATCTTTAGTCCATCTACCGTCCACCCAGGTCATGGCGCTCTGCATGCGATCGGCAGACTCCAGGGGCCCAGGTGCAGGATGGCGGCTTGGGCGTGGCCTGGTGCATGACCCACACGTTCTTAGTTCTTTTCTTGTCTTGTTTCTTTTGAACTCTGGGCCTGGGCACTGTCCCTCATGTCTTCAGCTCAAGGCTGGCGCTCTACCACTTGAGCCACGGCACCACTTCCGGTTTTTGGGTGGTTCCTTGGAGATCAGAGTCTCACAGACTTTCCTGCTCGGGCTGGCTTTGAACCGGGATCCTCTGATCTCAGCCTCCTGAGTAGCCGGGGTGACAGGCGTGAGTACTGGCGCCCGGCTTTTCTGGCTGTTTTGAGAATGCTTCTAGACCTCCAAATCCCTCAGCTCCCATCACCGATGGCAAAGCCACCTTAAGGGACAAGACCAGTGTGCTTTGCTCCAGAAGTCCCCTCGAATTCACATCTGAGGGCCCAACACAGCCACCGGCTCTCCCCGCGCACCTCCCTCCCTCACTGCCTCCAAACACTCAGGAGCCTCCTCGGGCATTGTCTGTACCCCTCACAGCATGGCTGCCCGCTCTTGGCTGTGGAGTGAAGCAGGCAGATGAGAGGCCTTGGGGTTGTCCTCCTTGCTGCTCGGTGCTGTGATGATTTGGTCTGACCACACACACCAGGCGTGGCGGACCTGACACAGCACGGGCGTGGGGTAGGTGGTTTGTGGGTGATGATGACTACGGACTTCCCACGCACACATCCGCTGCCTGGGCACCGGGGGAGAAACGGTCCCTGGACTCCGAGTCCTGACTCCCAGACTGTCCCCAAGTGCCCTCTGCAGGGCAGGGGACATCTTAGTCCATCTGGGAAGCCTTTGTTCATCCCAGACCCTCCACCCCACCCCTCCACCCCCGTGAAACACAAAAATCAGGGCTGGGGGGGGCATGGCTCAGGTGGTAGAGCACCAGCCGGCGAGAGAAAGCATCAGATACTGAATTCCAGTCCTGGTCTCAGAAGGAAACAAGAACGAAACTCGCAAACCCCAGTTCCTTCCCAGTGGGGGCCCAGCCCACAAAAGCACTGCGGGGAAACGCGCTGAACACCCTTAGAAAGGAGGGACCCAGAACAAATCACATTCAACGAGGTCAGCCCGGCTCAGAGACACGAACGGCGCCATGTTTTTCTCTCCTCTGTGGGAGGTAGATCTGAAATACACGGGGGTGTGATCAATGATAGAGGATTCCGGGTATTCCCACACGCTGAGACCAGAGGAGGATGTTCTTAGGAGAGGACCACAAAGGCACCATGTCTGTGCGCCTCTGATCGTATAAAATAATATTTAATGAAATAAACCCTGGAAATGGAGGGGGGAAATGGGGAGAGAGCGAGGGAAGGGGGGACGTGGCCCAAAGAGCAAAGCGATCATAACCTGACTGAAGTCACTGTCGCCCCTCTGTCCATCACCTTTATTTTTGTAACAATTCTATAAAGGAGTCGGGAGAAGAGGCCAAGGCTGAGAAGGATGTTTGATCTTGATGTAGTAAATTTGATCAAAGGGCTTTTTAGAAGTGGACGTAACTGTCCCAATGAAACCCCATTTGGACAATTCATTTACGCTAATAAAAAAAGGTTGTGGGTTTGTTGGTTGGTTTGTTTAAAGAAAAGCTCGAGAATCCTTTAGAGTAAAAGGCAACTTGATCTGGTCTGCGCTGTTCACTGGTAAACTCACAAGAGCCAGTGATCGCAGGGACTCTGCCTTTCCCTCCGCCCGCGAGAGCCCCCAATCCTCAACCCAGCCCCCAGCCCCCCCAGGGCCTGGGCCCCGCCTTCTCGTCTGGCTGATTTTAGGGTTCCCTTTGCCAGCCAGGAAGGCTGCCGCAGTATCACAGGTTCAAATCCCACCTCTGTGACTTACAACATAGGACCCTGGAGCGCTAGCCTTTGGTGTCACCCTTAAGAGTTGACAAGCCTAGAGAGCTGGTGGCTCACGCCTGTCATCCCAGCTACTCAAGGAGGCTGAGATCTGAGGATGGCGGTTCAAAGCCAGCCCGGGGAAGGAAAGCCTGGAGACGATCTGGGGAAGGTGTTGAAGGAAGAGAGCAGTCGTTCAATCTGGGGAATTGTGCAAGGTTCCCTTCCCTTTCCCTTCCCTTCCCTCCCCTCCCCTCCCCTCCCCTTCCCTTCCCTCCCCTCCCCT